GGAGCGCGGCGGCGAACAGTCTCCTGGGGGGCACACGGTGGCGAAGGAACACAGAAAGGGACTTTAGAGCCTGAATCCAACTGCTGCTCTCCTAGTACCATACTATTCTCCCCCCCCCCCGGTAGGGTCGGGTCCCAGGAATTTCACGTCCGCTCCCTTTTTCAGCCACCTAGGAGGGGTTAAGCCAGTGAAGAATGATAGACAAGGAGATAAGCCACAAAGGTAGTGCCCGTTTTAAAAGCGCTGGTGCTCCTTCCCGGCCTTTCTCCTTGCGTCTTGTCCCCCTCAAGAGTAGCTGGAGCCCGAACAGCCCTAAACACGTCTCCAAAAAACAAATTGGGCACAAAGGTAGGATGCACTGACCTGACTACAGAAAACCTAGTCCATATGCAATAACCTCTGCCAGAAGTCACCAAGTAAACTCCTCTTGGAGCAGAAAACAGCACACGTAGGATTTTTCTTCAGTTCCCTGTCCAGGTTATGTGGTCTTTTAGAAAGGACACTGCAGGCAGGAAAAGAAGCAAGAAAGCACAGCTGCTGCACTGGGAAGGGAGGGGAGAGACCAAAAAAAAAAGTTTTAACAGTTTTATTGCACAGAAAAATGCCTTAGTAAGCCTGGAATTTTGTTGCTAACAGTTGTTTAGTAGACACAAGTGATTTATAGCTAGCTGTGTATGTTGTTCTTAATCTTAAAGTTTCCAAAGCTGATCTCTGAAGAACTCAAATATACCACTGCTGTGTGAACAGCTGTATTCAATTGATATTCCTCCCGAGTAGACAGTAATACACCTTGAATAACCATCTGGAGGAGACGTTCCTTTACAGTAATCCTACCCGTCCTGGACAGATGCATAATATAACTGCACAACCACACTCAGCATAATCGTATTAGAAGTGTAAGGCTTTTAAGATACACAGGAAAAGAAAACAACAGCACTTCAGCAGCCCAATTCCAAGTAGAGGCAACTGGAACACAGCAGTATTAAGTGTAGGCCAAGAGACAGAGTACCAAACTATATTTACTGTATACAATAGTAAAGGACAACAAATAATGTACAAATTGGTGAATAAACAATGAGATCTACAGGATATCCCACCCCTAACCCATATACAATAAAATGAAAAAGGAAATAAGGACCTTTTCAGCAAGATTTCAAGCAAGCAGGAGATGATCTAACATTGTCAAATTGGTCAGGTAAATATAAAAGGCAGATAACGACCTCACCAAGCAGCAATGGACAACCTATTGAAGGATAATAGGATGGCCTTTTTAAAAACTCACTTGGAATAGATTTCACACTTCAAAAGGAGCTCAAACTCATCACACAAATGCATTTAAAATTCCATACATTTTGGGAAGGAGCAGAGCAGAAATTTGTTGCAAGATTTTTTTTTTTAATATATATATATATATATACACACACACACACACGCACACTCACACTCACACACATATATATGCATTTCCTTGCTTACCAGGCTCTTGACAGCTCTTCTGCACATACAGCTTGGTGACCCTAAAAGTGTATTTTTTTTCCTCAATTACAGATCAAGTTCATCTACCAAAGACAAGTATTAAAAAGAAACCTGAGGCCACATATTTCTAGTACCAACTGAGAAACAAAGATACAGTTTTTGGAGTCATACTAAAGGGAGCAGAAGAAAGTTACAAATTCTGCCCATCATTTAGTAAATGGATAAAGTTGCAGTGAGGGGCTTTTTTTTTTTTTTTTTTGAAATAGACTTCCAGAACAAAATACTGCTGCTCTATCGCGAGCATTAGATTCGGATCAGCTGCTCCGATAACTCCATTTCCAACAATAATTCAGGACAACCCTCATTTCTGCATGAAGAAAGTACATTTCAGTCAACTTTATCATGTTATGACAAAGCACGTGTAAATTTGCAATATTTCTAACTCTGACTCTATACTAAGCATTGTATCTGCATGTACAGGCCTTGTGTCATAGGCTAAAGAGTTCTGAACTAACTGTGTTGGCAATACATACTAAAAATTTTAAGTCAGCCTCTCTTTTCTTCCTCTTAGCCCTATTTTAAGAGGAAACTTTTAAGCTCATGATTGGCATGAAAATATGTTGAATTATTTACATGATTTGTGGGGCAAGAACAACAAGAGCCAGGAACGAACACTCCACGTCCTAAAACATGGATGAATATTTAGGCCACAGGTGTAAAGAAAAAAGATAACAGCAGGTAGACAACGCATATTACTTCATCTGAACTTAAATCAAATTGGCCCAATTTAAGATATCCCTGCAGATAACGTTTTGACTTGCACACGCAGTACGTCAAAGACAAGAAAGCAATTCTGGTAAATGTCCTCTTAAGTTTGAGAAGAATCCTGTGTGATTGGCATGTTCATTTGTTTACTATTTAATAGCAAATCCAAGGACAGATGAGGGAGTGAGGTCTGATAAGGATCCTTAAATTCCTCTTCTCAAAAGGACGGCATTTCTTAACACACTCCACCCGTCTGCTGTTGAAACACATCAATAGTGTCTTCATCTTCCATCTCCAGCTGTTAGATTAATATACAAAGTTGAAAACTTGAAATATACAGCTATATAGTTACAAAAGCACTCAGTTCTCTATTCTTAAACAGTGTCAATAATTAAGCAATTAGAGTGCCATTTTAACACTGTATGAAACCTTTTCCATCACTCACTCCAGAGAGGGCATCACCTCTTTAAGTCAGGAAAGCTAAGCACTTTTGGCAAACAGTCCAAGGCCACACTTCAGCCAGCTGCATGCAGAATATAATCCCATAACCTCCTCTGTCTTTATCAGAGTATCACCAAGACTGAGACAGGTTTTAGAAGCACACTTGTTGATGAGACCAAACTCAACAATTTAGCATCTTTTACAGCAAAGCTCCTCAGCCAAGTGTATTTCTTCTATTCTTGCTGCAGGCCTTGTCAATGCAAGAAATTCCCCAAGTTCTCAGCATTACCAGTGCTGACAGCAACAGCAGCCTTTAGGGGCAATAATTGCTCAAATCACGCTGAAGCAGAAGTAGGAAGACAGAGTCCCAGCACTACTCAGGTGCCGGCTATTTCAGCACCAATGCCGCCACCACCAGTAGTGAAAAGATTCAAAGGAAAAAATATGCCAGCCTAGAGCAACTATTTGGAATGTATTAAGCTTATGACAACAGTTTTGCAATCAAAATGACTCTGAAATACTTTGATCTATGCGCAGACAATCAAAACATTTTTATAGCAATCTGCAATAAAACTGAAGTTGTTTTGGTCATACCTGTGCAGGTGTGTCAGCTTCATTAATTGGTTGTCCATCAAATCTGAATCTAATCTGCCTCATTGACAAGCCCTGCAAGTTTACAGTAACAAAAATGTGGTGTCTCATTAATTGTTGAATCCAAACATAACATTTACTCACCTACTGTCAGATACTAACAAAATTAAGACTCAAAAGATTTAAATAGACAGGAAACTTACTCCTCTATCTTATTACACAAATTACGGAAGCAGAGCTATTTAGATAATAGTAGAGCTATTTAGATTGATTTCCCAAGGCAGCTATTGCCACAGCAAGGGCACTATATGAAATAACAGGTGTTTGTTTGGCACCTGGTTCGGATCTAAATTCTAGTACCCCCTGCTCTGCAAACTACAAATATCAAAAAGTCATTGACAAGCAAAAAAGCAACATTTAAGTTCAAGAACGGCAGAAAGGAAGAAAGAGTAAAGCGAAGGAAAAAAAAATATCAACAGGAAGTATATAGAAGAGATCAACCAGAACACAATTCTAGAAAGTCTCAAAAGACAGGACAGAAAAGAAGGACAATTGTTTCTTACACAGTCAGAGAAGTAACAGTATTTTAAGCTTATCTGACAGAAAATGCTGCCAAAAAACTGTAATAGCTACCTTTTTGGGCAACTAACTACCAACACTGACTACCCATATTTAAGTCGCAAGACTTTGATTCGTGCCAGGCATCCTCTCCCAACTCTAGTTCTTTAATCTTCTGATAAAGAAAAGGAAACATGAAGCAAAGATTGTCTGAGGGGAAAAAAATTTGCAGGACTTTATGCAGATCTTTACTTAGAAAAGTCATTAGAAAAAACACCAGGGCTTTTAAGTGTTAGACTTAACTCAGTGGGTTAACGCTGCCTTTAAAATCTTCATTGAATTCACAAGGGAATCATGTTATGACAGCGTTGAATTACATGATACAGTCTTTATTCCCTGCCTCAGTGATCTACATCTTTGTTTTGACCTCTAAAATCCTTTGAAAACCCTGTGCTACTCAGACATGTTTCCAATCACGCATACCACCATCGCACAGATGCAAAAATTCCTCATGCATCTCTCAAGATGATACTGTATGTAGCTCTTGTTCCCAACCTGAGTGGCATTTTGCTCCATCAAGCATGAGAGGGCAGAACATACAACTCAGGTGAGCAAAGAAAGGATCCCACATATATTAGATACGGCGATGCCTGCAAACAAAATTTCACTCCACTTCAGGAAGGGTAGGAACGCGAACGGCTTTCATTTTCTGTGCCACCTAATACGGTGTAGAAGTAGTTCAAACATTCAGAACTACAGACTCGAGAAGCAGGCTATCAGGGTAAATCACACTTCCATATAAATGGGGACAGCACCAAAGAATAGTCTCCTACACAAAGCAGCTTCCTGCCACCTGTAGAGTACAGCAATCAAAGCTGTGGAGCATGCAAGGGAAGGTAGGTGAAGGGAGGAGAAAAAAATTTGTAAACAAAAAACGTCACAGCATGTTACAATTTGTTTTCCTGCCATTTTCCAAACGGAAAATACATATACATACTGTATAAAGTCAATAAAGATTTTACAGATAATAAAACTGTGGGTTAGGAAGCTAAAGATTCCTACTCTCCCACAGAAAATCAGTCTGAGCTAAGATCGGAACTCAAGAAATTCTGACTCCTGGTATCGTCATGGGAAGATTTTAGAAATCCAGAAGCACACAGCGAGGAAGGGGCGACTTTCATCAACTCTAGCGTTAAAATCTTTTTTGTCGGTTAAGTTTAGGAGTCTGGACTTAGCATCCTAAATCTTTACTCTCTTGCGCTTCTGTACAAACAGGCATATTCACTCTCTGATGCATTGATGTTTATAATGTTCCAGAAAGAAAAACAGTGGAATTTCCATACTGCCAAGGGCTCTTCCTTATGAAATGATAAGAGTCACAAGCAGCATGAAGAACCCTCTGCAGAACCGGACCATAACCTGCAAAAGCAGTGTTTGATGTACATACCTGCCTCTCGCAATAAGCCTTCATCAGCTTGCTTAAAGGTGTGTGCCTTTTTATTTTGAACTGGACCACAGAACCATCCTGGCCAGCAACTTTTAAATTGATGTGATCATTCTCTGTTTTCACTCCTTCCTGAACAAAAACAGACAAAAAGGCAGAACACAGTGAGCAAAGCACTGCTTTGAATAAAAGTGATCTAAAGGCTCCATTACAAACAGTAACAAAGCTCTCAACCACCAGAAGCTTTTCTTCCTGTTTATAAAGGGAGGATGCTCTCCACAGCACACAGAGGGGGGGGGGGAAAAAAAAAAAAACCTGCACGGTTTTGCAGTCATCAGTTCAGGTAATAGGGGAAAAGCAAAAAACTTCACGGAGCAAATCCCAGCACATCTACATACCTCTGTAGGTAACAGAGGTCATTTCTGTTACCTGGATGCCCCCTGAAAATGAACTGCAGAGACATGCAGCCGTACAAACTCCACTCACGTTCCCTTCACTTTTTCCCTGTTTACGAACTCTGCACGCTCCTAGCATTGCACAGATAAGAACGACCGTACTACCGAACAATTTTCCTCAGGAAAGCCCCCGATTTTGCAGTT